TGCATTGTTACATGGCTCCAGGGATAGGCATCGGGGACACACCACGTCTCCCCAACAAGTGCAAAGCCCCCGCAACAAAGACCCAGCTGGCTCCATCTCTTCCAGAACTTTCAAGAAGCTCTGCACTGGCTGCCACATTTTGTTTTCATTTTACTTTTGAAAAACTCCAAGGTCATTTCATAAATCTTGGAAATGGAATCCAAACCCATGCCAAATTCTCTCCTTCGCTCTTCATCCCCTCATCCTAAACATCTTAGGGAGAATACAACCTATTATGCCTATCAGATGCTTCCTTGGCTTAAATCCATGGTGGTCACATTTAATGTCATTACAGTCTGTGTCCTGTGCTCATGCATAAACTGCTACACCAGCAACAATTAAAAAACAAGGGGCGGGGCGCCTGGGTGGCTCAGTCGTTAAGCGTCTGCCTTCAGCTCAGGTCATGATCCCAGGGTCCTGGGATCGAGCCCCGCATCGGGCTCCCTGCTCGGCAGGAAGCCTGCTTCTCCCTCTCCCACTCCCCCTGCTTGTGTTCCCTCTCCCGCTGTGTCTCTGTCAAATAAGTAAATAAAATCTTAAAAAAAAAAAAAAAACAAATACCACATAAAAAAAAAAAAAAAAAAAAAAACAAGGGGCATTCCTCAATTCCTAATTCCAACCTACGTATGCAGGGCATTATCCAGCCAATTTGAGGGTGCTTTTCAAAGCACATAATAAATGTGTCAGACACTCTGCCGGGTTCTTAGATTATTATTCTAATCCTCAACCGGAGCCCACTGTGCGGTGAGGAAGGAACCTCTCCCGGGTCACTTGATGGGCGCGTGGCCCCATTCAGATGCACACTGGTACCAGCCGCCCAGCCACCCACTCGCCACACCACCGTCCCCCTGCCCTCCCCAGGCTGGAATTCCATCTTCCTGAAGGTGGAGGTTTGCATTTGCAGTTTGCCATGAACAAGGGAAACTGAATTTGTGGGACCTGACCGGGGATCTCTGGGTGGGAGTCTTGGTGCCTGAACAACTTTACTTGAGTCACTTAAAACCCCATATGAGTCACAAAAAGCACCCTGTGACCCCCTACCTCCCAGCCTCCAGCTGCCCGACCCCCCCCCCACCCCCGTACATACAAAGAAACGAAAGCGCAATCTACCAGCTCCGATCTCACACGTACCCATTAAAATGACGTCCTTCATACGAGGCTTAAGACATGAGCTCAAAGTTCCAAAGTCTGTAAAAGGGAACTTGATTCAAGAACTGTCATTGAAACATACACCCCAAGAGTGTGGTTTAGAAAGCAATTGTTTACAGGCCCTTGTGCCCCACCCCACATGCGCACAGCACAGCTCACCACAACAATGGTAAGAACAGACCCGCTACGCAGCAACACCCAAGAACCCGAGAATCTCGGCTCTTCCCCCCCACACTCCATTCTCCATACTTGTCAGCTGCCTGCAGCCAGGACCCTCCTTGGCCCAGGTGACCTGGCAGCTGGAAGCCCTTACCTCATACTTTGCTACCAACCCAAGACGTGTGTGGGAGCGTCCGCTCAGGTCTGGGGTTTCCAAGATTTGCTGTGCCATTTACTATGCATTCTGGGCAAGGCAACTTGGTCTGTCGGGAGTCTCCTTCCCATCTGCAAAATGGGCTGCGATTCTCCCCTCCAGAGGGCCAGAGATGTACGTGGAAGGGCTTCGTGGTGGAAAGTGCTAAGACTCCTATGAGGGGCTCCGATTGTCATTCTTCTTCTTTGCCAGAATCTTTCTGGCACTTTAGGGCACATTAATTCCTATGTCCCTCAGGGGCAAGAGCATTCACTCCTGCGGATCATTTGCTGTCGGGGAACTTTTATACACAGCCGCATCACCACTGGAAAGAATACTCTCAGTTCTGTGAGGCAGCCTGATTTATGGAAATTTTTAAGAGCCTTGTGTCCCTTGAAGATGACAATTGTCATTTTGGCCCCTTGTGTTAACTTTGTCCCTCAGTTTGCCCGACTGTCCAATGGAGAGAACACCTTCATTTTGGGGGGAAGGTGTTGTATAGGCTACAGGCCATCCAGGCAGTCTCTTGCCTTATGCCTTGCCCCTTTCAACATGCATACACACCACTTTCGAACACTGGGATCCAAATTCTCAAAGACAATGACAAAGCCCGAAGACAGCTCTTAAAGGCCAACTGCCTTCTGTTCCATGACACTATCTGTCCCTGCCTGACTCCAGTGGCCAGGCTAAGACAAAAGTCTGAGCCCCACAGCTGACTGGGGAATGCAAAAGGTGGGTTAACTATATATAATTAGACCACCCTGACATTTCCCTCTTCGTTCCAGATGTGTATTATGTTTGTTTCCAGTAAGCTGGGCCTAGGCTCATGCACTGTGGGAAGGACAGGGAAGGACCTTCGTCTTGCTGGCGTGCATCTGCCTGAGGCCAAGCTGGGAGGAGCGCCCTGGCTCTTCCCCCTCTCTCCCCTTGCATACCCCACTTGTCCTGGCTTTTCAACAGGTGCTCCTGGGGGGAAGAATGTCTGAGAACCTACTCCTGCAACCCCGCTCCCCCTGCCACCTGACTGGACACCTCTCCAGATTAGACAAATGCAGATCATTTTTTAAAATGGAAGATCCCTGTTTATAGGGAGTCCAAGGGCAAGGCATGCACAGAGACACACGGGAGTTTTTAACAGGGTTCTGGGACATCAGATGTCTCAGGGTGGAATGATGCTGCCCAATTATGTCCTATGTTAGAATGTTCTAGACTGGAGGAAGGATAGAAGTCAGAGCTCTTCCTGGCCACCCCTCTCCAGTGGGACAGACGACAGCACCTAGGAACAGCAACAGAGGGGGGGGGCATAAGGCAGGCAAGGCTTTCTCACCATGGAGATGTAACAGCCATTGCAAGATTCATTAGAAATTAATGTAATGGCCTCTTGAATTATTTCTCACCAGAACTGATATTAGTGGAAACATTCCCAATTATGGTATAAGACTTACTTGGGCAAAGATGCCCAAAGATGAGTATTTTCTAAAGCTCAACGTTGTTAAAAGATTTAACTTTTCTGAAACCTTAATTTTCTCCTCTGTAAAATGGCGCCAACTCCCCCACCTCAGTTTCTTGAAAAGCAAAATGAGAATGGACATAAATCTCTCTAAGCGCTGGGTCTGATACAATACAAATAACAGTATTTTTTAAAAAGTATGTAGCCATGTTGAAGGATTCCCCCCATACCAGCTGCTATTCTATAGGAGTTCCGTGCCTTTTCTGTCCATGCCAGCCCTGGGAAGGAGGTATTAAAGTTGTGCCCATTTTACAGTCCCAGAAGGTGCAAAGCCAATGGGTTCAGAAATTTGCTCAAGGTCACGCATGAGCCAAGGTGACCTTGACCCTCTAGGCACCTGGCCTCCAAATAGCTGTCTCCTGCTTCCATCTGGGGGATACTCCTTATTAAAAAGGTGATAACTGGGAGTCACTCCATATTTCATAAGTGTCCCTTCACCCACTCCAGGAGTCACTTTTACCTTTTAAACATGAAAACGCTGTGGGGGGAAAAAATACTGCCTCCTGTAAAAAGCCCTCCTTTCTACATGCGCTGTGTTTCACAGGCGAGATGCACAGACCTCCCCTGGAGGGTCCTTACACCAAATACCCCAGGCAGCCGAAAAGGTAGGAGCAGCAGCTCATTGCTCCCTGGGGAGCACACACATCCGCCAACCCTGGCAGCTCTTGGGGGTCTTAGCTTCCTTACCTATAAGATGGATTTATTGTAAAATCAATCAAGGTGAAGCATTAAAAACCATTCCTGTTGGCCTTTGATCTCCACCCACCCCAACCCCTGGCCCAGGGTCCCGGGAACCATACAATATGCATGCTCTTGTCTTCATCCCTGTCCCAAGCACTCAGCTCAGTCGGCACCAGCACTGGGAAGCTTCTCTGCCTCTCCAGTTCTTCACAAGCTGCTGACCAGCCCACCAGCTGCGCTCCAGGGGTGCGCCTCCTCCCGCCCCAACTAGTGCACAGGGGAGACTGGGGTGGGGGGAGAACGCCAAGGGCATCAGCACTCCCACCTCAAAGTGCCTCGGTGGCCACCCGACGTTCTTAATACAACTCGCAGACAGAGCTCAGGGCACAGATCTGGCCACCCCAAATGCCTGGGCTAAAGCACCATGGGCCCAGCGCCGGGGAGGTCCCTAGTGGGCCCCAGGCCGCAGCTTAAGAGCCGCAAGGCAGGACAGGCGCTGTGCCCAGCAGGGTTGTGGGGCAGCAGGGCAGCCCAGAGCAGCCACGAAAGATCCAAAAAAGTGTCGGGAGAGAGGCATGCCCACCACCTAATTCCCCCCTAGGAGTCCCAGCCTTCAATCTGGGGATTTCGTGGGAACAGGGATGGCTGAGCCAGTTCTGGAGAGAGCTCCGCGGTGGATCCTGCTTTTCCGCTATGGCGTCCTAGCCGCAACAGGGAGGAAAAAAGTCCTTGTTCTCCCCAGGGCGAGGGGGAACAGGAACCCCATGCTGTCCCCTCTCTTGGGCAATGCTACCTACCCCCGGCAGCCCGGCAAAGCCCCTCTCCCCCTCTCCCGGCAGCCCTGGAGACCAAGTGGATTTTAAAGCAAGGACACCCGTCCTGTGACGAATTCATGCCCAGAGTTTCTTTTTCTCTTCCTTTTTTTCCGGGCCAGGTCAGAGCTGCCCGATTTTTCTTTCGAAGCTACAAGACTAAGTAGATTTCTTTATGGGGCCTCAGATGGGGGTGGGGGAGGTTGGTAGGAAATACAGAATGTGGCCCGTCTACATCGCCATCACTTTATTGTATTGTCACCGTTAACTTAACTATAAATACTACGGCGGGGAGCGAGGCGCCGGCGGCCTCGGACTTCGGGGCTGCGAGCCCCGGCGCGACCCCGACCCCAGGCGTCGGCCCTCCCGGCTCTGTACACTATTTACAGCTCCTCGTTCCTCTTTCTCGAGCCCCTCCCGCAAGGCAGCGCGTGTGCAAGAAAGTAGTATCGTCTGTCTGTGCAAGTCCTTCGAGTTAGGCAAGAACCACAGCCGGCCCGCGGCCGTCAGCTGTCCGAGTCCAAATCGCTTTTACCTTCCTCTTCCCTCTTCTCGGGCGACGCCTTGGACGACGTCTTGTTCCACTTCTCGGCGTTTTCCGACTCCTCCGACGAGGACCGCTTCTGCCGCCTCCATTTGGCACGGCGGTTTTTAAACCAGACCTGTTGCGCAACGGAGGACAGAACAACAGTTAAGATCAAAGGCGCGCTCCCCCCACCCCCGCGGCCCCGGCACCCCGGGGGGCCCTCGGCGGCCGCGGATGACGCCGGCGTGGGCTCGGAAGCCGGGGACCCCGCGCGCACGCCCACAAAAGGACGGGAGACTCGCTCCCGCTTCCGCATTTCCCTGCAACTTCCTGGGCCTAAGGCGCCCTCCAGCAGCCTCCGGGCCGCCGCGGGATGTCGGTCAAGTTCAGGGAGACCCGAGCCGAGCCCGGCTGCAGAGCCGAGCTAAGCCGGCGGGGGCCCGATCTCGCCGGCAAGGGCCCGCAGGCGCGCCCACCTCCACTTTCTCCTCGCGGAGGTGCACCTTCCGGGCCAGCTGCTCGCGGGTGCCCACGTCTGGGTACTTGGTCTCCTGGAAGAGGTTCTCCAGCGCTTCCAGCTGCTCGTCGGTGAAGATGGTGCGGTGCCGCCGCTTCCGCCGGCAGTGCAGCTGGTTGAGGAGTTGCAGCTCGGTGCGCGACAGCGTGCCCACGTTCATGTAGGGCAGCATCTGGTGCGGGACCGGGGACACCAGCACCGAACCGGGGCCCTCGTAGCCTGCGACAGAGGACGCACGGTCGGCCGGCTCCCCTGCCACTGCGCACACCGCCCGCCCGCGCTGCGACCCGCTCCCCCTAGAAAATCCTCTGCAACGGGGCGCTGGGAATGGGGGGCGCGCGGAAATCGGAAATGCAGGGCAATGGGGGAAGCGTGCTAGAGCGTCCACCCGCACACTCCCAGGGCCAGTTAGGGAATCCCAAAAGCCTCGTCTCCCCACGCAGCCACTAAGTTACAGTTTCCTCTAACTCTCGCCTCAAGTTTACAGCAAGTGTACAAACCCCCGTGCCGGATCGGCCAAGAAAAAAAGGGGGGGAGGTTCGTATGTGCAAGGAGAAAAGTTAGTGCGAAAAATGAAAAAAACAAAAAAACAAAAAAACAAAAACCAGCGCCAGCCCCAGGGACCGAGGACCGCGGCAAGAAGGCCGGCGCGGGCGCGACCCTACCTGGGGGCGTCGGGACACAGGAGCACTGCTGGGCGCCCAGCGGCGGCACGGCCCCGCAGCAGGCCGGGCCCACGGGCGCCGCCTGCACGTGCAGCTGCCCGTAGAAGTAGTTGTTGTAGCCCAGGCGGGAGCTGCCGACCGCGGCCGGGAGGCCTGCGCCGCCGGGGGCCACGGGGCGCGGATAGAAGGCGCCATAGTCCGAGGAGGCGCCGCCGCCGGCGCCGTAGAGCGAGTCCCCGTGCAGGGCCGGGAAGACGACGGGAGCCGCGGCGCTGGGCGCCACGGGCAGCACCGAGTCTTTGCAGCGCGGCCGGGCGGCCAGGATGTTGTCGATGCTGAACATGCTGGCGGGCATCCCCGAGCCCCGCGCCGGGACCGGGGGGCGGCGGGGAGGCGCCGGGGAAAAAGCCTCAAAGTTGGGGGGGGTCCACTCTCCTCCAGCGGCCGACCAAACCGAAAGAGAGCGCGGGCGAGCGCGCAGCCCCGCGCCCCTCCCCGCCCCCTGCGTCCGCTCTCCCTCCTCCTGCCCTCCCCTCGCAGCAGCGTCCGCCGAACTCAACCCGCGGGTAGGACGGAGTTTAGACCAGCTGAACCTCTTGTTGGTTTTATACTGAGTCGACGTCATCCTGGATTTAGTTCCTGGTAATATGCAGATGACAAACAGAACCAGATTTGGCCCTTTCTGTTCCTTTGGGTGGGGGGCTTTAGGGAAGGGGGAGGGGGAGAGGTGCCAAGGGGAGGGGGTTGCGGGGGCCAGAGAAGGGATTGTGGATTGCAAATTAATGAAATTAACCTAATCTTTCCCATTCAGCGGCCCCGCCGCGGGCCGGCCGAGCTGGGCGGGCGTCCTAATTGCTCCGGTTAATCTCATTAATTCCATTGTGCGGCGCAGTTAACAACTCCCTCCGCCCGACCTCTCCGCCCCCACCCTTTTTTCTCAGATTGGGTCCTATTATTGGGTGCGATTTCCTCTGCGAGAAACTCCAATTTATTGTGGCCAGTTTTACTTTGGGGCTACTTTTTGCCCCATTTCGGAACTTGTTTTGTCCTAGAAAATGTGAGGGGCTGCGTCCTCTCTTAAGATTAAAAACTCCGCTCTTCTTCCGGACCCCCAAGCCCTCACCGTCAAATTTCACCTCTATTTTTTTTTTTTAAATCTCGAGGTTCTCTCCCGAGTGGAACAGGGTAACCCCACCCCCAACCCTTTTGTTTTTGCAAAGGCCAAAATTTGTAAAGGCGAAATCGACGAAAGAGGTGCGTTGTGGTTCTTAAAATATGTGTCTATTTTTTTTCGCAGTCACTTTGGGTCTGACAACTACCATAGGAATCCGTAGGCCTTTACACAGCAGAGACCAAATTAAAATTCGCCACCAAGAGTAACACGCTCAAGCGATGCTTCCAGCTGTTCCCTGAGTGGGTGTCGGTAGGTTTTACGTTTTATCTTTTGCTTTTTAAAAAATTATTCTTGGAAATGGGGTGTGTTCTCCCCCATCCTGTTTTTGTTTTCAATCCAAAATCCAGAAATGGGGCTTTGGGGATCCCCCAGCCCGTTTCCCAACAGTTGAGTCGCATTCTCCCCGTCCGTCTCGCCAGCCCCCTGAATGGGACAGGCCCCCTAGCTGTCCTTCACCCGACAGGCCCCCAGCCCCGGCGGCCTGGCAGAAGCCGGGCTCTGCTTGCCGCAGGCGGCCGCCGTTGATTTGCGGGATCCTCGGCGCCGCACTGCTCGTCCGCCCGAGCTGCCTGCCGGAGGCGCATCCAGCCCGCGACCGTGCGCAGGCGGCAGAGCGCCCTTGGAGAAGGTAGGCGATGGTGCGCGCGGAACGAAAGTAGCCCCCGAGGTACTTGCGGGCCCGGCGCAAGCCCCAGCCTTGCAGAGATGTCCTTTCTCGGCCCTTCGCGCAGGCACCTCCAGCCACTCCAGGGGAAGAGGTAGGGCCGAGCCCCGGCGAGACGGCCCGAGGGCCGGGTTGGGGGGCAACTCGGGTTTGCCGAAGGAGGGCCGCCTTTAACTCAACGCCCATTTCTCCCTGTTGCTCTCGGGCTAATTAACAGGGATCCCCGCAGGGATGTCTGATGTTGCTTCAGCAAGGCCACGTCTGTGGGCTGCCTCCTCCCGGGCGGCAGGGCAAAGGGGAAAGGGCACTTGTCAATTACTGTTCCAGGGTCAGAGGAGCCGTGGCGCTGAGGTTAGGTCCGGCCGGGGCGCAGAACTCGGGCAGTGCGCAGGAGCGGCCGGAGAGAAGCTAGGCGGCGGCGCTTTTCCTAGGCCTGCCCTTCGTGGACCTCTGCACCCTCAGGCCCACCCGCTCGGGGCCCAAGAGCCTTGCCTTTTTGAACGCTGAGCGGACTAAAAAGTTGTTGTAGGGGGAGATTAGGGCAAGACCGGGATGGGTCTCAGTTTGGGAAGGCAATCGATTTTTTTTTTTTAAACACTAGAAACCACTCCCAGGGGACGGACAGTGACCCTCCCCTTCAGAGAGGTCAGGTCTAGGGAAAGAAGTGCAGCGCTTTCCCTTTGCTACTAACTAGGGATAGAAGCATTTTTTCCACTCGGGAGACTTAAAAATCACCAGTTTCCGGGCACACATTTCCCCGCCAACCTTTCCTGGGTCTGATTCTGCAGGGCAACTGATGGAAGACAACTAGAGGCTGCAACTCCTGTAGTGAGTTGGCCGAGTTTGCGTTCGGGGCTGGGCGCTCTGGGCAGCGCGTGTGTGAGCTGAGCCGGGCGGAGGCAGAAAACCGAGGCCGATTCCTCGTCCATTTCTGTGAAGGTGCTCAGACCAGCAAGGCGCCAAGACGTCAGCCAGATTTCTAAAAAGAGCAATTTCTAGGTTTTAAATAAGACAGCCTCCGCCACACACACGTCATGCCTCCTTCCACTTGGTACATAGTTCTTTTTAATAATCATATTTAGCAAACCCCTAGACTTCGCCCCTTGCTTTAATGCAGTGCGCTCTCGGCACCATCCGATTCCTGGAAGGAAGAGCACTGTACAGGGAGTCTGAGCGTCAGAGTTCTCGACCCAACGTTGCCACCTTGCAAATTATCCCTCCTCTCTAGGTCTCGGTTTGTTGTCTTTTTGTTTTTGTTTGTTTGTTTTTTTAGTTGATGGAACCAACGCCAACAATCATTGGGTCCCTTACAACCTTAAGAATTAATGAGGATAGAGAATTGTCGCCCGTTCGCCAAGGAGACTGGGGGTAGACTTTGGGGCATTTTTCTAGTTCTTTTCATTGGGGCAAAGGAGCTTGCTATCCCCACCCCCTCCCAGGGTAGGGTCTCTATCAGCTAGGTCCACGATTAGGACAAGCGAGTCTGAAAGCTCTGTCCTCTTGCAGAAGGGACTTTCTGCGAAGAGAACACAGGGACCCAAAAGCCTCTCTGCCCCAGTTATTCAGCCAGTTATTCTCTTTCTCAGGGAGCTCACCCCCTTCGCGGCGGGGGCTCCCCAGCCTTGTTGCCCCTCAATCTGCAGGCTGCACTGTGTCCGCGGGGCGCAGGAGCAGGGGAAGGCAGTCAGCGGTGCGGCGCCCCGCGCTGAGCTTCCTCCGCGGGCCGAAACCCACAAGTGTCCGCCAGGCACTAAACAAACAATCATCCGCCTCGTGAAGCCAGGGGCAACTGGAATAACAAATGCAACGCACACAAATTGCCTGCCTCCTGTTTCTAAGCGATTGTTTGTCGGCCCCGCAGGCACCGCTCAGCATGGGAGGACCGCGAGCGTCCGGAGGCGGCCAGCAAGCGCTTAGGTCGGACATGCAGTAAACACGCCGCTGATTTTACTTATTATCACCCAAACACGATTTCACACAAAGCAATCACCATGCCAGAAGTCTAGGAAAATGTGTTTGTTGAGGAGTCAGTCGCCCCGGTAATAGCCCTCATTTTTAATATATTAAAGAATAGATCAGCGGATTCTGAGTGCGTAAGGTATACGGTGCGGTTCGGTATCTGACAAGGGGCTTTTTTTATTCCTCCACAATCATCGCTAAATTAATTCATAGCGCAGAGATTAAATTGCTTCTCTGATTTAAAACAGAGTGCCCAAATTTGGAGTGTGCGTTTGGCTATCGCCACCCTCCCCAAGAGATTCTCGTCCGGGAGGAAACTGTCGCCCACGATCCTTCCGCACACGCACCACGCACACGCACGCACCCGTGGCTGTAAAAAAAAAAAAAAATGCACGTGCGGTCCTAACTTCTTGCGGTTTGGGGAACTTTCCTAATTCTTTCAGCCTCTCAGCCGATCACAGCTCATAATCGGATGCCCTTAAGGATTTTTCGTGGCATGGGCAAAAAAAGCTGACGTGTCCTTTTCAAAGGTAGGGGACCCCCCCCTCCCCCAGGGAGAATTAGCTGGGTCGGAGGAATGAGGAACAATGAGCAGACCCGGATGCAGCCGGTGCACAGCGTCGAGACCCCATCCAGCCTTCATAGCGCAAATCGGCTTTTTTTTTTTTTTTTTTTTTTTTTTTTTTTGAGGGGCTTTTAAAAAAAAATCCAGTGCCTCAAAAATGGTGCTCAAACCCCGGTTCGTGGCCCTGCTCTTTGGAGGACACCTCCGGTAGCCCCAGGGGGTTTTCCGTGTCAGGCTGGGTAGGTGGAGTACATCCAGGAGCAGATACCACCCCGCTAAGGGGCAAGCGCGCAAGGGCTGGATCTTCTGCAGGCAGTCAAGGGCGATGTAGGGACGCTTACTAGCTGAGTTTTGCTCAAAGTTTTGCAACATTCCAAATAAGCACTCTGAGCCCCTGAGGACGAAATAATCAAGGTGTTAGGAAAACTCAACATAACTCGGGGAGGGGGGCGGGGGGGGAGAAGAGGGTGTCGAAAAATGACGTCTTCCCAAAGCATCAGAAAAAAAAAAAATAGCTCCGGGTTTCCAGGGTTGCAGAAATACACTCTCAGCCGAGCTGTTTACCCAAGTTTCTTTCAAAGTGACTTGCACCGTTGCTTTTGCAAATCACAGAATGCAAATGACGATAATTTGTTCTCAGTGGAACTTTCTCTTGAAATGATTAGCAAAGTCAGTCATTTGAAAATTAGAGCGAATGCACAGACGGGTCCCGCAGCCCCTCGCTAACCGATATCAGCTTCTAAAGTTTTCATTCATGTAAACCTCATTAATGAAGATCTTTTATTTAAACGTCAAGAGGATTTGAAATTTAGAGTAAATTATGAAGCTTGTATGTCTAGCCAAGTCATGGGTCAAATGCATTTGTGAAAAACTGCTAAAAGAGCATATGGTTTTGAATTTTTCTACAATGACTAGTGTTTAAATAAATTGCTTGTACTGCTTAACTTCATGTGTAATTTTGACAGAAATTGGCCTATAGCCTTTTGATATGTA